GKWRKTYYTWRRWTTTTTCGTGTTTTTGTAATTGTTCTGGTAAAGTGGGAATTTATCCAAGACTGTAAACAAAGATCACATGTAGTTCAAAAATCCTTGTTACATCGTCGACTGTTGTAACCTGGGGTAGAACCAGTTTTTGTCCAGTTTATACAAGATATCAATCAATCAATTGACATTAGYCAGTTTGTCCTGGAACGATATCAATTGAAAACCTGACWGTTTCTTGGCTAAAGAACTCTCAAAACACATTCAAAAGTTTTCTTAAGAGGAATGCAGCTAAAGACCATAGCAGAATATGTTTCTTATAGCTCGCTGGAYAACTTTTGCCGGTCCCTACCCCTCTGGGTAACGGAAATGCCATTGGCTCAAGTGCGTCCCACGTCTGTATTGATTTCCATCGGTCCGTTAGACCCTCACTGGACTCATTATTGTTGAGAGTTTTAGTAGATTTATTCAGATAATCGCATGTAAAGAAAGAAAAAAGCGAAGAGAGTCGGTTAGTTTTGCATTTAGCTACTATTGAAATACACAAGTAATATTATGGTGTAATATATATTATATATAGTCTTTGTTTTATCAAAATGGGCCGACGGACCACAATCTCTTCTATTTGAAGTATGTCAAGGGTGAAGCTAAGGTCAACGTAGACGCGGAATGTATCCCCATTTATCAACGGTCTGGCGTGGTTCATAAAACTGATAGAAARCTAGAACTATCGTCTTATGTTTTCCGCACAGAAATTATCCTTCATCGTTTAAAGGTTCAGTGCTAATTTGAACAAATAATATGTGTTTTTTGTATTAATCTCGATGAAAGCAGGACGTACGATGTGATTGAATACTTCGGAAACACAGAGTTAATCTGCCATATGCTTATCGAAACGGGCAAAATGATTATCACTTGCAATATCTCAACCTTATTTCTCATTTTTTTGCTACATTAAAAAATACTATAAATAAATAAAATAATAAAATCCGTATTCTTGTAGTGTCCACAGGTTATTTTCCTGTATTTTATGTTTTTTCGTCGGCTGGAAAAAAAAAAGAAATTGAAAAAGGATATAAGCGTCGAAAACGTACAAGAATTCCACACACCTCTATCATATGTACAGAGATTTATTGTAAAAACAYGTGATAAAAAATATAATCCTACAGGGCTAATCGTATTTCATGATAACAGATTTACATAGCAGAATAGAGAATTTTCTTTATAATATTTATCTGAATATTTATAGATATGAAATGTAATTGTTCATCTGATCGTTTATAATGYCCCTGAAAACTGAGAATCATTAAAGCTGACCTATAGAAGGTCTGCATACAGTCTATAAACAGTTCATATTTCAAGGTCTGTCTGACGTCCTAGGTGTGAGTTACTTTGTCATAAAGAACCTTTAGGTCCGTCACTGTCTTGGCATAAATGGAAAAGTCACAAAAGGAACCGTTACCATCGTTAGCTGCCGATGTCACAATCACTCTTCCTACATTGGTATTGTTCAAATCATTAGCGTTCTCTATGATAGTTTTAGCCGGGACGTTGAAGTGGTTGTTCAGTGTGAGACAGGAGTGTGTGTAGCCCATCGACTGTGCCATGAAAGGCGCCAAGAACAAATGCGTCGTGTCGCCGCCAACTCGTGGATTCAGGTCGCATAAGAACATTCCGTGATCTGTTATGATGACTTCAAAAGTAACCAACCCAAAGTAGCCTTGTTTGTGYAGATATTTAGTAATAGGGATAGTGAAGTCATCCCATACCAGGTTCTTATAGTAGTCCTGTTTGTCCCAATCAACGACAGCACTTGTCCATTGATAACCAGTGAAGCCTCCACAAGTTGTTCCGACCCAGTAGATTTCTCCAGATCGGTGCAAATGGAACTGAAAGCTGGGAACTTCTTTGATTCCTTGGATRAGCTTCTCAAATAGGAYATTTTCCTTCCATCCATTTTCTTCTCTGATTTCTTTAAGAATGGCYGACAATTCATGTTTGTTTTTAGCCATCAAAGTCCCTCGTCCTGACCAACTTTGATCAACTTTCACAATGCACGGGCATTCTACTTCGTTCTCTTCCATGCGTGGTGGACATGGGACTCCAATTTCAGGGAGTTCGCTCTTTAGTTGGACCTTGTAAAGAACATCAGGGTCTACACTATGTTTCCTCTCAGGRATGGCTTGTAGAGCCGCAGTRGTCACAATAAGCGCGTCATCCTGAAGTCCTTCGTCCACGGTTTTTAATTTTGCTTGGGGGAAGGCTGTGAGCCACTTTTTCCAATGTTTTTTCAAGTACCTCGGAGGCTGGTAGTCTAACAGAACAGGGACTTCATCGCCGGCCGCTGCAAGGTTTCTAAACGGGAAACAAAGATTGTTGAAGGTCAGWGACGGTGGTGGACAGTCGTAGACGCGGTGCTTTTTATCATTGTAAAATCTGTAGCCTCTGGTGTGCGAGGATGGCCAGGCTGGCAAGTAGTACGCGTCCTTCAAGTCCTTTTTGATCAAACTACCGATAGTCACGGCTTTCTTGTTGTTTACCGACATTTTGATCTAGATACCTTCCACTCAGCCGACAATGTAACGTTTTGAAAACTACAAACGAGTACAGCCATTATTTATACACTACTAAGAAGGCTGGTATGACAACCCGGTCAAGACAGGATAGTCCAAACCGGTTTAAACTGGTTTTTTACTGGGTCTCGTGAAGGAGACGAGTCAATCTCCTTAATAAGATTTCAATGTCTCGGTTTTCTCTTTGTTTACACGAATAAGATCCGTTTATCGTGAATGTATTTGTTAAAGGAGGTAAATGTATTAAAAAGAGTTTCATTTTGTCATCGTCCATGATTGTTTAACCATTAGACTTGTGTTAGACCTGCATTGTTGACTCTTGATAGACCTATAGACGGACACTTCAACAGCTTAGATCCCCATTGGGGGGTGGGTACTGGAATCTCAAGGGGGTGGGGTCTAAAAAGGCTGATAACATGATATGATACAATCGTGACGGCACGTTAAATCGTTTMCGTTGTTTTGAAGTTTCTCTTTTTTAGCTTTCTTGTAGTAGGTAGAGTGAATTATGTTTATCTTTCTAGTGTGATAGGGTGATGGAAGATATAGACCCCTTGCATGTGACGTCAAAGCAGCTTCATGCTTCAGCTTCATACAAAACAAAAGATTTTTGCCCTCTTGGGAACTAGAATGTATTCATTTGTCCTCCAGTTGGAATTGCATTCCCACGAACTGCAAGGGGTCTATAGCTGCAAACCGGATTGCCTATTCATCCATTTATCCATTCCCTCCCATTCATTCGATCATTAATCTCATTTTCACTTTGCTTTAGATTAACAGTGCCTGACCTGACTCCTAACATTGGACTCTTTTGGTACTTCTTCACTGAGATGTTCGAACATTTTCGAGTGTTTTTCCTTTGGGTTTTCCAGATCAATGCTTTTTTCTATTGTATTCCTATGACAGTACGATTCAGGTATATTATRATCATTGATATACGATTCTTAAAACTATTCTGGAGTGTGTTGTACGAGGGGACCTAGTAAAAAAATTGTCCACTTTAGAAATTTTGTGTGGATTTTATCCTTGGATATGGGCTCATTACAAGGATACCTCTTCGCACTTCGCATATAACTGACCTTGTGTGTGACTGTCTGAGCGTGTGTGGGACTACGCAATATTTATCAGGAGGGGGGTTGAAAATCCAGGGGGAGGGGGCAAAATCTAATTTTATGCGCGTATAGCTAGAGGGGGTGGGGGTCATTGTCTAAATTAACTAGAACTTTAATTGGAAACTGTAAAATCAACGTGTGTCAGATTCTGTGCTGTTTGGCCAAATACTTATTGAAGTGGAAACTTCTCAAGAAATGCCACGATTTGCAACAACTATTTATTCACGAATGATAAATAAATCAATTCCTGATAAATATTGTGCAGTCCCTTATCTGTCTCGATAGAAAGGTATCGGTAACACTGCTTTATTCACAAATCAACAGAGAGCATCCAAGTTTCTTGGCATGTATTTTGCTTCATGTCATATGCGTAATGAARTCCTACCCTAGTTTTGGTGACGCAGCTGTACCTATTGCCCTCATCATGATGTGGAGGCATTTATTCCCTTGTAAGTATCTCAACACAGGTAACCCAGTCGAGATGACTGAAGACGAGTGTRACAACGTAAATCTTTTATTTTCAGACATGCGTAATGCTTTCTTGATCATGTGCATGTTAGTGTTCTCAACGTTCTTGGCGCCAGTCTTCTGGTATCTTTGGATTTACGCGGGCAGTGCTAACGCCAATTTTTTCTACGCTATAACTTTGGTGTATTCGACTGCTCAGGTATGTAGACATATCAATTACTATCTTAAACAAGCCGCTAATCACACGTCGAACTTTACATGCTCCGGAGGCAATTCGAATGAGATGGAGAGCAGTTAACATGGAATCGACATTTATTGACTTGGACACATATCGAGTTCGACGTTGGACAAATAAAATAAAAAAAGTCGCAAGTCTCAGTTCGTCTCTATTATGATAATAGGAATAGCGGATAAATAAGTAAAAACTGTGATGAAAATGCCGAGAAAAATTGTTCCTTCTGAGGGTTAGGAATTCAATGAGATTCACGTTTCAGAAAAATAGGCAACTTATAAAAATTTAAAATTCGCGTTATTAGTTAAGTTTTATTATTTTTTTCAGATTCTTCTCGCTTCTGACGTCTTGTTTGCGTTTCTACGTCGCGAGCGTGACTTGGTGCGCGGTATTTATCCAAGCGTCATAAACGGAGAGGTYGCGACCGTTGTTTTTAAGTGAACAAGCGAGCCAAAACGGAGGGGACTCCCTCAAGATATAAAATAATGCTTCTTTGTTTCTTGAAGTTGATTCGATCTTCAGTACAGAGCTTGAAAGAAGCTTCCGTCAGGCCGCGGCATAAGGACGTGCCTTAACGTTTATAACGGGTCTCAACCATGCTTCCGCCATGCTATAATGCATTAGAGCAAGATAAGGGACTTACATTTTACTGACTCTAATGAGCTCTTACTCTCTCTGAATTATTGCTAGAGCTGTAGTAGTTGCTCAAGTTACGCGTTCTTGAGCTGAAGTAAATAGACGACAGAACATGAAAATGTCTATACATGCTATATATAATTATAAATCGTTGGYACGCATTCTATGTTGACTTCATTTTCTTTTTCACTGTTCTAATCGTCACAAGGCGCGCTATCCATCTTACTGTCATTTTGCTCTACATCGGTGACCCCCCTGCTTTGATTCTCTTCCCTTTGTATCCCCAACGCCCTTCGAGATATACCCCGTCGTAGACCGGGGGGTCTTGTTATAGCATTTGAACGAACCAAATACAGCAGACCCTGACTATAGCCGTTGATATAACCTTGTAAGTACGCTCCTCTAGTCTGGATGTCGGGATGGGTGCGTAGAAGATGTTCAAGGACACCTTTCATGTAACCTAGCTCGTAACCCATGACATAGCCATTAGGGACACCCCAATTAAGGTCCCGGATGACAGCCTCGATCTGACTCAAGGCAGACTGGACACTTTCTTGTTCGGTTTCRTTCATGTTGATTGGTTACTTGGTTGCGTAGCAATATTCGAYCTGTAATTGATGATTTGAGAGTTAAAGCCTAGTATTTTAATAAATCAGGGCAAACTTTTCTAAATGTTGAATTGTTTATCATGCTTATAAAACACTTTATCCTACCTGTTGTAGTATCTTTTTTTGTAAATCACTGTAGACAATTTATCATGATTAATTCTAAAACTTTAGGTAACTTGGCCTTCCGTTTTTCTGTACTGATTTAAAATGCTGCAAACGTATTAGGGTAAAATGTATTTTTGAAGACTTTGAAATTAAAAAACTTAAGGTAACTTGAACCGAGAGAACGAATATTTTCTGGTTATATTGATGCGTTTATCTTTGAATTCTGTGAACACAAAAAGTTTAAAACATTCAGTGATAAATACCTTTAAAYGAGTATTCTGTGTTTTCCTAGTCGCAGCTGTATCAGCATTGAATACTTTTAGATATCAAACGTTTCCCCCTTTACTTTTCTTCCGAAAACTTCGTGAATCTTAAAGACTTGAGASTCTTAAAAGTGTATTATAAGTAACAGCACTGATTGAAGAAATATACTACTCCAGGTGCAYATAGAAATTTAATGGTCTCGTGGTTGCCTAGTAACCATGATTTTGTGGTTTRTCTAAAGTGTGGTGAAAATAAGAGCTCTCGTGTTCTGATTGGCTGAGAATTGGAAATAGTTCGAGAAATGTATACTCTTTTGTATTCTCCAATATAAAGGCTTTCTCGCTTTGACTAGAATACTTACCCAATGCGAAGTTTTAATATCATTTGAAACTAAACCATAATGGACATATCTTTGTTTAGGTATTTAACAGCTCATTGTTTATACAGTCAACTCTCGCCTTACGGACACTCCGCTATTACGGACACCTCGATATTACGGACATGAAATAATGAATCCCCGGCAAAAAAATACAAAGTCTAAATGACTGAAAGTTACTCTCGTTATTAAGGACTCTCGCTACTGCGGACTCTAAATTAAGATCCCGAGGGTGTCCGTAATAGCGAGAGTTGACTGTATCTCGTCCTAAAATGTATGTTTTGTACAAAATCGCTAAATATTATATTCAACAGCTTGAGTTTAAAACTTTAATCTTATTACCAGAAGTTCCCCGTTTCCGGCCTGTGAAATCGTTTGTATTCATAACTTGAAGTATATTTGAGATAAACGCGTAATGCTGCTTTATTACAGTGCAATTATTATGGCCTCCACGAGAGTGGCTGATGCCAGACTGTGATTCGAACTTTCGGGGRAAGGTGTCACTCTTTGGGATCCCTGTGGATGAGTTACGTGTCGTAKTTRACGGTTGACAGACCACTCTGAATATCGTTTTGTGCCTTTTGTTTACCTAACAATGGCTTTTAAAAATGTCACTTTTTAGMATKTGAAGTCAATGGCTGTGACCTTAGCTAATAAAAACTATCCTTAATTTAAATTCTAGTACAATGATTATAAGACAGTTTGGTTTATTCAACACTGTAGGATGTTGCCAGCCTGTAAACCTGTATCTAGGCAACCAGCTTGAACATCTATCAGTTCTGTTTACATAGTATTTACAATTTTCAGTTGATTTTAATTACCATACAGTAATATAAATTTATAATCTATTTGTAAAAACTAAGACATCAAATAGTATATCCTTAGATAAATAATAGTTATATGATGAAATTTCTTTTTGACATAGCTTTTCACTTTTAAAAATGTTATTCTTTTATAATTTTACGATATTTTTCCAGTGATGATGTTAAATTACTTCTCAGTTATAACTATGATATATCAACTTTTTAAAATATATTGTATTAAATTAGGGTGTATAAACGATTTTAAAAGCTATCTATAACTTGCACTGACATGGCTTTTTTTTGGAAACTGTGCACTTGAAAGGCTTCCACAGTAAATCGAATCATCGATCAAGCGTTCTTTCTACAGTGTTCTATTTAAATCATCTTCTTCCTCTATGACGTTTTCTAAGGATGGTGTACTACCGGAGTTGTATCGCCCTACAGACGACAGTGCTGGRGCTGAGCCCCAGGTTGGCGGTTTAACTAATAAAGACTTGTTGAACCTATCGAGGTCTTGATCCTCGTTGATTCCATTCACKGCTTGGTATGCTTTCGTATAAATTTCTAACGCTCGGGCACAGAACTCCATCTCCCCACGTACAAACTCGATRAAAACCTTTTTCACATCGCGCATCTTTTGGGTTTCAAACTCATTCATTTGTTGTCGGAGGATCTGCAGTGATCTGTTTGCCTCCCCGGATGCTTTTTGGAACTCGGCCTGTGCTTTCGATACACGACTGCGATTGCCCGATGACTGCGTTTGTGCCTTTTCCAAAGTATTAAACGTCTTTACTTCCTTAGAACACAAGGATGAGCTATTTTTAACATCATTTCGAGCCTGTTTGCATTTTGTTTCGTAAACACTAAGACTCTCAACYAACTGGTCTTCCARACGATGAACATGTGCGTCCCGATAATCCTGGACTGCAGCAAGACAATCAGCAAACATTGTTAGCCCTTCTCGCATCGATTGGGACTCGTTCTCTGCGTATTGTTGCACAGTTTTATGTAGCAAGTCTCCTTTGTCTCGTAGTTTAGCCGTTCCTACTGCATATCGTTGTAAAACGGCCGATAATTTCGGGAAATGTGTCTCAACGACCGTAATGTTCTGATCGACAACTTTAGTTTGTTGTTCAGTAGCTTTAAGAGAAGCTTTGAGATCTGGTAACGATCCAGTGAAATTCCTGTCGTCTCTGCTTTGTAGTCGCGCCATTTTTGGCAACTTTTAATGTGTGGAACAAACGAAACGAGGGAAAGATTTCCGAACAATAGGCCTAGACCGGTTGTTTTTATGTTTTCAAATATCCAGTGCTCAGTTTCCACGGTTGGAGTTGACCGCGTGTTACTGGTTCGAGTTTTTTTTTTTTTTTGCGGGCGATCATTGTAAAAGTTGGYCAAGGTGCAAACCTTAAGTATGATGTCAGATCTTGTTACAAATTACTTCAATTGCATACTTACTAAATACTGATTCAGAGCATCAATAATGATGATTTCCCATCATCCTTTGTGAGACCTCGCGTGAGTCACGGAAGATTTTTGGCAATTGTGCGTGACTTTATATTTCTTTATACTTGTTAATAAAGCTAWCAAAATGTTTAAAGGACAATGAGTTGTAGTTAATATTATTATTGTTTCATTTTCTTCGACGCTCCATGCGGACGAGCAATTACACTTTCTTTTCGACCTAAAAAAGTGTATAGATTGCATTTGACTTTGAGTTTAAATCGAAAAAACAAAACTTGAACAATCAATATTGATCTGAGGATCAATATAGCAGGAACCACGATTACWGTGGTCAGCGGTTTTGCATTTTGGAATKTTATCACGTGACTGTTCTTCATCGTTCAAATTATCACAACATAAAKATTACAAATATTATAAAAGAATTGTCGCAAATTTATTTGCTAGTGCTGAGGAGTTTTATGTTGCAAATCTATTCGGGTCTCACTGAAGAGCATTACCTGYTACAAATACTAAACAAATCATTCATTATTCATACCACATCACAAAGGCGAACTAGTCATTCGATTAATATAATGTATTAATACAAATTATAACTGAGCAACACTTCAAATCATAGAGATAAAAAAGACAAGTAATGATATTGGAAGAATTTACCACGTTAATTAACACTCAGTCAGGTTGGTTTTTGTACTGTCAGAAAGCTAGGTGATGGTTTTGGAAATCCACCAGTTCTACCACAAGGTTTCTATTATTAAGTCAATAGTAAAATMGGCAAGCGTTGCCTGTCAACTCAGCAAATGACAGTGTAGACGTCGTGTGTGATACTAAACCGCCAGGACCAGATTTGCCGTGTCCAACATGGCGACGGGAAAGAACGTGGCTAAGTCGGTGAGCTTCCTTGATGAGATTCCTGAAGAAGTTTGGTGTCGATATTGTAATGGAGTTTACGAAAACCCACTCTTGTTACCMTGTTTACATTCGTTTTGTACGAAATGCGTCGAGGACTTTAAAAGCTCCACAAAAGGGAAAATGGTTTGTCCTGTATGTTCAACAGCTGTAGAAACTGAAAATGAACCACTGTTGCCAAGCTTGCTTGCTCAGAAAAGGGTGGCGGAACTTAAGAGGCAACAATTCGCAAGTAGACGCGAACCMTGTGGAGGATGTGATAGTCATCCTGTTAATGCCAAGTTCAAATGCACCGAATGCGAGGAGTTCCTATGCGATGACTGCATACAAGCACACAAACGAGTCAAATTCACTAAAGACCACGAAATACTTTCACTGGAGGAAATAGCTGAACGGGAAAAGAAACTTGTGAAAGAAACATCACARGTTCAATGCCATCTACACGTGAACGAGGTCTTAGAGAAATTCTGCGTGACATGTGATGTGACTGTTTGTAAAGAATGTCAAAATGGCATTCATTCGGGAAACCACCAACATTCACCAATGGACGTGGTTTTTGATTCGTCAAAATCAGAAATGGAGGAATCTTTAAGACAGACTAGAGATAGGATACCAGAAATGCAGAGGAAGGTTTATGAAATAATCAAATCCTATGGGCGTGTGCAGAACAAGGTCGAGGATATAACATGGCAGATACGAAAAACATCGCGACATCTTATTCAAGCAGTTAAAGACAAGGAACACAAACTACTTAAAGAACTGCACTCTGTTCAAGAAAAGCGCTGTGAAGAACTCATCGAGGAGAAGGAAACCATGGAGAAAAAACTGGTGCAAACAATCGATAGCTGTGATTTTACAGACGATGTACTAAGACAAAGCAAGCAAACAGAATTAATGATGATTAAAAAACTCATTAACGCCCGTCTTGATCATTTACTTCGTCAAGATGCTGAACTTAAGTCCTCTAAAATGAAAGTTGGATTTGAGGCTAATGAAGAACCGGTATTTCGCGCCATTGACGACGCGTTCGGCCGCTTGCTTATCGAATTCGCGCCACCTGTTAACGCGGATGTGACATCACCAAGTACTAATACCGCTGACCCTAAAGGAAAACCGTCAACCAGTGAACAAGYTGATGGCAGTAGCTCACAACAAAGTATGAAATCTTCCGTCAGCGAGCCCGTGTTGAAYACAGCTACCGATGAAGAGTTGGAAGGTACCACAGAAAGGCGCTCTAGTCTACCACCAGTTGTTAGTAAAAAAGGCGCCAAAGCTGTTACCAAGACAACCACAGCTACGACTTTCAGTGTGACAACAATGGATTACAAAAATAAAAGACAAGAAGTCCAAGTAGCGCTCGAGACCCCGGATAATAGTATCATCAGTGCGCATGTCCTGGACAATAAAGATGGTACCTATAACGTGTTTTATTGCCCCAAAACAGACGAACATAACCTATATATCAGTCTATCAAATAAGTCTATTAAACATGGAAGTCGCGTGCTTAACATCTATGGCTCGTTTAAGGGCATGCGTGGTGACGAACTGGCTTTGGCGTGTAAAGTATTGTGTTTAATTCGATGGCAAATCACGCCAGGAATGGTAAAGATGAAAAACAAAAAAATTGTCCCTAATCCTAAAGTTACATTTCAAGACTTAGAGGACCCTTCAAAGGACGACCAGAGAGAGTCGAAGGCATGATAGGATTTTTAAACTTATTGGTATCAATAAAAAGTGAAATGCTTTTTGAATAATGTTTTTAATATATTTTTCAATGTGCAAGTGTGAAAGATGCTGTCGTCGGAAACCTCGGTGATACCGCAGAGTGACCATGAAAACCCATACTGCTTTGCGGTCTCGTKCGATTTATGGCGACAGTGTCTTTTAAAAGGAGTGTAAATTCATCGCTTACAGCTGTTCAAGCTGGTCTTGCAGTCGTAGTAAGAGTCGAATATCTATTGGAATGAACTTGTTACAGATATGTTACTGACGTGATAAAGGACCAAGCACAGATTTCGGAATATGTGAATGCAATAAATCAACTGTTTTTTCCCGAGAGGGGATTAGTTACAGGGAAGCGGGTTGAATGGATATTTAGCTATCATCAGCCTGTTTCGTGATTCTATCGTCAGGGCACTCATTGTGCACGCTTACCACAACAACAACAACTATAGAAATAGAAAAAAGGTTGATTTTATTTCAAACGTGCTATTTTAGACAATTCTAATTTCAGTGTTATCGAGTGATATCTGTGCTAATGGACTTTTCATGGGCAAATTACTCAATCTATCAGTTKTTGMGMAYTTAGTGAACACTCATTAACCTTTTCATGAATAGCTGCTTTTAAAAACTGATAAGGTCACTTTATTAGAAATGTGTTGGTTTTGATAYCAAAATTAAAAAAGACTCCCTCTCCTGACCCTACCCCTACAGGGTATGACGTATGCTTTGGTATGCATGGAAGGCAATTGTTGTGTGGTTMCTGATAGTTGAATCAATCAATTAATTCTGATTAAGTGYAGTGCAAGAATTTGTTACAAACCAAATTAACGTCTAAAACTGAATAACTCAATTCTGTTCTCAAAATATTGTCTCCCAATGATTGAATATTGAATGMACACTAAAACTGTGCCATATTCTATTACAATACCTCGCGCGACTTAAGCGTGAACATCACGCGTGTGAAATATTTGCATTTTATATACTTTGTATGAACTTGGGCATTATGATTTAATAGGGCCCGTTAGTCTAACGTCGAAGCTCACACGTGCCGAAGGTAATGCAAACATGATGATAATGAGTATAGTGACAAAAAATTAATTGACATAAGATTCGGAACATGTGAWATCCGACKTATAAGGGGTTCTCATATTAGTGTTCAAWGTKCGACATTACTTTGTCTTGATCACTTCCCCACTGCAATCTCTGGTACTCTTTGGAGWA